CGCCAGGTATCTGGGTAAGCCGGAGGAGAAGATCGGAAAAATTCGTTTCAGGTAATCGATGCACAGAGGTGGAAAGGAGGCGATGTTTATGACGCCGCTGAGGAACTTCAGCGTTCCCATAAACGACCCGAAGAACGGCCCGAAAGCGCGGTCCGCCCAGATCACAAATCCGCCGTTGCCGGGGAACGCGGTGGAGAGCTCGGCGGTGATGAGCGCCTCCGGGATGCTCCAGATGAACGGGAACACGAGGAAGCCGAGGATGGCGAAGAGTGGGCCGGCGGCTTGGACCGCCGGTTCCTCCCCGAAAGGCCCTCCAGCGACCTCGAAGTAGATGAGGAAGATGAGTGGGATTAGGGTGAGTTTGTGGCTTTTACTCTTGGGGCTGCCGGCGGCGGCAGTAATGGGCAGTTCTTCGAGTGGCGGCGGCGGCGATGCGGTTGTCATGGAGGGCGGCAGATCTGCTGTGGGGTTTTGTGGAGTGGGCAGAAAGGGCTGTGCTAATCTCTGAGCATCACAACTCGCAACAACCCCTCGCTTTGAATTCGAATCTTTCATTAAATTTCGGGAGGAAGATAGGCTTTGACTCTTCTATATGAATGAGTGTATGCATCCCACTAAAACAGGGATTCCTCCGTATCTTTTATGAGTAACTGGTCAATTAACTCGTGCACGGATGACATTAAATTGAATTGGTCTCTAAAGATTATCTTGATTCATGAGTTTATTTGAGGATTATCTTGATAAAGCGATCCATATTTTTCGAGATGATTATTAAGAAGTTGAGTATATTGAAAAGATTATTTTGAATCAAAATTGATTTTAAATTTTAAATCTAGACTATTCAAGATTATTCTCACACTTTTAGGGCCTGTTTACTAACAGAGATATTTTCCAGTTTTCCAGAAAACTGGAAAACTGGAAAACAGAAAACATGAAACGTGTTTACCAAAGAAATTCCTGGAAAACTAGAGAAAGGAAAAAAGAAAAACGCGTTTACCAAATCGTTTTCTAAAACGGAAAAAATGAGACATGTCTCTCTTTTTCTTAATGATTTGGAGAAGTGACTTTTACTAGTTTTCCAAATTTGGAAAACGCAGATGTTACAGTGCCGCTGCAATGAATTTGCATACTTACACATAGTGGTGGGTCCGGTCCCGCTCCGATGTCGATTCCATTCCGGTACCTCCATCCTCGTACCTTACCCCTACCCTACCTTACCCACCCAACCCACCCCCGCATACCCATTTTTCCCTATAATGACCCTACCCCACCCGGCCCCACCCCGATCCACCGTACCGCCACCCCCCTACCACCTCGACCCCACCCGGACCCATCCTACCCTATCCCCACCCGTATATTACTCCTTACCCCCTTACCACATGTCCCTACCTCGGCCCCACCCCACCGCCATCCTACCCCCACCGTCGTACCGCTATCCTACCCCCCACCCTTCCGCCATCCTACCACCCTTCTACCCCCCACCCCACCCTTCCCCTACCTCGGCCCCACCCCGATCCACCCTACCCTACTGCCACCCCCCTACCACCTCGACCCCACCCCGACCCACACTACCTTACCTCTACCTCACCCCAAACCCTACCCACTACCCCACCCTTACCCCTAACCACGACCCTAACCCACCAACTACCCCCACCCAACCCCCTACCCTAGACCTTACCACCCCACCCCGACCATACCCCTTACCCCACCCCCACCCATAACTTCCCTACCCCGACCCCTATGAGTAGGTATGGGTGGGTATGAAGGGTTGTGGGGGAGTATGGGTAGAGTGTAAGATCGTGGTAAAGGTATGGGTCAAGGGTGTGGAATTGGAGAACTGAGTGAAAAAATTGATGAACATGTTTTCAGATTTGAAAATGGAAAACTAAAAAATAGAAACAGAAAATTGGAGATAGAAAAACTGAAAAATAAAAACGGAAAATTGGAGAACGAAAAACAGAAGTAGAAAACAGGAAAAAATCTCTGTTCGTAAACATGCCCTTAGATTCTTTATCTCCTTTTTAGAGACATAGCTCGGATGCTTTTAAACGCCGACTTCTCATATTTTACTAGATAACTGGTCTTCTAAACCTTTAAAAAAATCAACGATTGCTAAAACTATACTCCCTCCGGTTCACATTCATCTTTACATTTTCCTTTTTGGGCCGTTCCAGAATCATCTTTACACTTCCTTCTTTATCTTATTTGGCAAACAAATATACACAAAACAGTGCCAAATAGTGTTCAAACAGTGTCCAAATTGTGCCAAACAGTGTATTTTACAGTAAAGTCAAATTTATTTCCTTAAGAACCGTAAAGTGAAACTGTAAAGAAGAATGTGAACCGGAGGGGATACTCTGTATGTATTATCACATACGAAAATACGTAGTATAAAACTAACAAATGGTTTTTGTAATATTTATTCATTACTACATGAGTGTATATATCAATATATGTAGTATATTATAGTAGTGGGTTTGTAATTTTTTTATTTCTTTGGATGATTTATGGTCCTACATTTTGATATCTTCATGCTAGTGCATTTTGTTATGTTTAATTCTGATTTGACATTTAACCGAGACCTTTCTAAAAAAACATACTTCCTATAACAAAAAAAAATCTTCCCACCTTCCTTTTTCTTCCGTAACAAAAATAATCTTCCCACTTCTAAATCTCTCACCATACCCTCAATAATTCTAAAAATAATATACTATTACAACTACTTTTTTTAGATTTATCCTACATTCCATCACATTATTCCACTATCTTCCCATCATACCCTCAATAATTCATATCATCTTTCACTATTCTTAATCTACCTACTTTTGAAATGGGAAGGTTTTTAAGTTACGGAGGCAGTACTTGGTATATGGAGTCAAACACACACATATATATTACGTACTACCTCCGTCCCAAATTGATTTGCAAATTCGACTTTTCTTGGTCAAACAGTTTCATTTCATTCGCTTAATTAGGGTGTTAATTTTGATTTATAATTTAAGTTGGACTTTGCAACTTTGAAGAGATTTTAATGTAGTTTCTAAATTTGTAAATTTTAATTATTAAAAATTGAATTAATTATCGATACGGAGCATTGACTTTTATTATTAGTTGACCAAAAAATGTCGAAGAAATTGATAGATTTGAAGATTATTTTAGATTTTTTATGTGGTAGTAACATGACAATAACATATCATAAAATACCATAAAATTGAGGAACATTAATGAAGATGCTCTAACAGAATATATATGTAAATATGTAATGTGTATGTAATTGTTTTACGGAGTATAAACACTAGATACATCATACGTAGTTTATGATTACATAGAAGCTTAAACCTGGTAATTGTAAGGGATAAACTAATTAATAAGGAGTACAAATGAACATTTTTCAGTCGTTGATTCATTTCTTATGCCATCTAATGGTAGTTATGATGCCTATCCTACACATGAATCAATGTAAAATCAATACATCTCTAGATATAGAGTTGGTTGGATATCAAACATATTATTTTAATAGCATATATATTATTTTTAAATAATACTACCTCTGTCCCATTTTATGTGTCTTAGTTTGACTTGGCACAGTTATTAATGAAGTGGTTGAAAAAGTAAAATTTGTGGTTCAGGTTTGAGTATAATAAAGTGAAATAGTGTAGGCTACATATTTCTTTCCAAAAAAAGAAAGAAGACACTTATTTTGGGACAACCCGAAAAGGAAAGTAGGACAGGTAAAATGGGACGGAGGGAGTAACATTTTATTTTAAAAACGTCAACGGGGATCACGAATAGATTAGGAACAAACATGGTATTTGAAAATACAATTATTTTCATAAATAATGAAAGTTTTCAATTATTTTTTCAATAATTTTCATATCGAAATTACTTGTAGTTTTTTCATCAACTATTATATTGGAGATTTTCATTAATGCATTTCCTAAATTATCATTTTACAAATATAATTTTCATACTTAAAATTAAATATTTATACTTCCGCTACATATATCGCAACCATACATAGGATGTTTTCTTTTGGACTGTTTTCAGTCCTAGACCAGACCAGACCAGACCAGATCAGACCAGACCAGACCAGACCAGACCAGACCAGACTTGGATAGTTATAAAATACACAGAGACCAGACGTTTACCAGACCAGACTAGACCAGTTCAGACCAGACGAGACCAGACCAGATCAGACCAGACCAGACCAGACCAGCAAATTTCAGTCCAAAAGAAAACATCCATATTACACATCTACTTCATTTACATTTTTGACAGCTGCTACTTTATCTACATTAAAATGACACAAATAATTTTGTCATGGCCTTTTTGTGCATACTATTTATACTCCGTATCTTTTACTTACCACTAATATTTTTAATGATTAATATGTCACATTTGGACAAATTTCCCATAAAATATCATATAGATTATTAACATATTTTGATTATATGCATAAAAATTTTGGAATTTTTTTGACAGAGCTTTCTAACCTATTATAGTATATGTTATGTTAAGGTCAATATCCATAAGACCATAAATTGGGATGAAATCCGAACCTGTGACCTTTTTGGAAGTGTCGCGGTAATGTCATTAAACCACAAGGTACTTGGCATAAAATAACTATGAAATCAAATTATTATGAAATCACTCGTAAAATATATTAGTATAGTTTGTAATTTATTATGACGTCACCAAAGAAAATGAGTGGCAATGTGGCATTACTTAAAATTTATTACTATTTACTTCAAAAATTGATGACAGTCAATTAACGCTCTGAGATTATGTTTATGTACTAATATATAATTTATTAATTTTTCACTATTAATTACTCGTATGATTTTTCACTTGGAGTGCATATTCTGGATTGGTATGACCTGGTATGATCTATTTAAATTAGACCTGCACAAAACCGGACCGGCCCGCCCAGCCCATGTCACACCCCGGACCTACCCGGACACGTCAACAACCCGCCGTACAGTACCGAATAGTCAACCACAGTCCAACACATTCATACTATACGAGGCGTCTGGAATATCATTCACACGTAGTACATCCATAAACAAACATAATGCAAATTATTCATTGAAGCAGCAGAAACATTTATTACAAGTGTTTATGCCACACTTGACAACATAGGCATGCAAGCCCCAAGATAATTATTCAAAAATAATAATATCCATGAGCATCAATATCATTGTTTTTAAAATGGAAACGGAGGAAGCGCGAACCACGCCTTTTCTCCTTAAATCTTTCCGAACCAACGGCAATGGTAGCAACCTTCAAGTTCTACCTGAAACTGTGAGGTGCCCCCCCCCCCCCCCCCCCCCCCCCCCCCCCCGTAAAGGGGAGGTCAGTACTTTGAAGCATTTGAAAAGTACAATGACAACTATACTAAGTATAATCAATGTTTCAATTTCTAAGACCCTCAATCTAGGGTATTATTACACTATAGTTAACCTCATTCATTTAATATCGTTTCACGCTCTAGAGCCCTACTTCTAGTCACGCTCCGTTATGCTAGAGCTCGGCTCATGGTCATACTACATAAAGCTAGAGCTCGGCTCATAGTCATACTACATTTTGCTAGAGCTCGGCTCATAGTCATACTACATTGTGCTAGAACTCGGCTCATAGTCATACTGCATTGTGCTAGAGCTTGGCTCATAGTCATACTACATTGTGCTAGAGCTCGGCTCATAGTCATACTACATTGTGCTAGAGCTCGGCTCATAGTCATACTACATCGTGCTAGAGCTCGGCTCATAGTTATCACTACTACGTGCTAGAGCCCCGCTCTTAGTCACATTATCTAATCTCTAATCAAACTTCGTAATCTAGACTCCATCCATTTTTAGTAACCTTTAAGGCTTACTCCTAATGTAATTTAGAGTTCACAAAGTCCAACTTAAGAATATCTCTTAAGGCTATTTTGAGCGTATTCATCACAATTCAATCTCTTAAGATTATTTCCAACAAACATTCGAACTAACATCTCCGACTAGTATTTCAATACTAGTCATTTGACCTTAGCATAACCAAGTTCCTAACTCATAGTCGCTTATTCATTTCAATTAAATTCCTCACACAAATATAATTTAGGTTTAATATCAAAATATCTCCTTTATTCTTTCATGACTTCTTTACATGAAGTAAAAGTATATTTATCACAATAAAATTCATAGTTAATACAACCATCATGCCATCATATTCATAACACATAATCATACACAATATATTCATAAATTTGTATATTATGCATCTTCCACTTATAAATAATAATAATTTCGTTAGGCATTATTAACCATTAATAATCCATGCAAATCACTTTTAATTTACTTAGGCAACCTTATGAAATTAACCCAATAATTATAAGCAATATAGTCGGTCATCCTCACCTCAAATGAGCTTTACACTTTTCCTTCTCAATCCAATGCTCAAGACTTCAACCAAGAAAGTTTGAGAACTTATTCCTTGCTTATAAATGAGTGTTAAACAGCCCCCTCAAGGTGCTAGCTCAACTACTAACCGATGATACAAAAACAACCCCCAAGATGGGTGTTTTCCGGCGAAATCATTCTCTAACTATAAAGAGGCAAAACCGTTTCTGTGAGTTTGTGTTTTCCGTCGATGATTTGAAGGCCTTCCACGACTCCGTTTTCTGCAAAACAGACCTTTATGGATTCCTCGTCTTGAGAGATTTCTTTTGGCACCTCACACGCCCTATTTGGGTAAGTATATCTCGAGATATGAACCAAACAAGCAACCCAACGCACTGGAAATTTACCATGCGGACAGTTTTCCTTTCTCTTGCTTTCTTTGGTTTTGTGTGGCTCTACTCCTCAAAAGACTTATGGAGTACGAATGATATGTGGTAGGAGGCTCTCAAGGCTATCAAATAATGTTATCTCCTTCAAATGTATGGAAGAGAATGAATGTGAGAGAAGGTATGGTCTCCATGAGGTGTATTTGACATGGGTGGGTCTCCCTCCTTCATTTCTTTTGTCAAGTTCAGCTCCCAAGTCAATTATGGCCACACCCTTCCATCATCTAACCTTATTTTACTTGTCTTGCAGGTGCTAGGAAGATGTGGGACGCACCCTTGTGTTCCCTAATTATTTTGAGGTCCAAAAATGGAAAGATGAGTCCTATTGTTTTATCCTTTATCATAAGATGCCTTTTGTACCCATTCCAATTTATTCAGACCAAGTCAACTTTATACATCATATTATTGATCTCTAATATGTGTATGAAAATCCCAATAATTTACATGATGAAAAGTATAGAAGAAAACTCTACTCTCATTATTTAGCTCAATAATGTCAAAGATGAGACCATATGAGTTTGCATTCTTCTCTAATCATCATATCCCTTATTTATGACATTTGTATTTATATCCTTGACTACAAGCCATGTGGGTCACCCTCGAGTGGGCCTAGGAGGCCATTCTTGAACACTTACTATTTTTAGCAGGTTGTGCCGAAAATAAAGTTTGGGCTGCCCGACTTCCCTTAGTTTGTATCGAAAGGTTATGCATCGTTATTTACATAATGTTGGGTTCTTATATCTATTAAGATGGCCCAAATAAGTATTTGAAAGTCCATCACTAATATACGAGCTTGAACAGTAAAATAATCAAGGGAATTTTTCGGAAGCAGACTTAAAAGGAGAATTAATATCACTTTTTTCATGTTTCAACTTTTCTTTCAAAAACAGTCCCGGCGCGGTTTTTTTTCCACTATTAGACCTTGAACTTAAACGGTGTTAATTGAAGAAACGGAAAAATGATTGTAGCAACAAGTATCGAAGTACGTAAAGAAATTCAAGAACGTGGAAACTTTATACGGAGTACATTAAGATAGCACTTTCAAATTCAAAACATTAAAAAAATCAGACACTACAAAATACAAATGCAGTAACATGAAAATATTAAAAACATAACTAAAGCACAACTAAAAATTCAGGAAATAAGGAGACTCATAAAATCGTAAAAGGTAGTCAAAATTAAATAATTGTAAAAATAATGAAACTTGACTATGCAAATATATATTAATTAAAATTTTTAAATATTTGAACTAAAAAAACGAGAAAAGTGCAAGAAATCTTATATACTAAAAACTAAAATTCAGAAATAAATATATAAATTAAGATGAAAATGCTTTGAAACTATTAAAGATATGAAAAAAAATGTTACTCCCTCCATCACATAGAAAGATTCTCACTTTCTTTTTTGAACGTCTCATATAAATTAAAGGACCACATTTTTATTTTAGAAAACAATTAACAATCTTAAATAAAAAATTAATCATTAAATACTAAAAATAATACATTTATAACATTACAATTATAAAAAATCCCATTATATTATATATCTATTAAAATTATTTTACAAAATATACCCGAATTTTCTAATTTAATTATTGTCTAAATAACTGAAACGTTTTATCATGAGAACCTTTACAACTAGTTTAAAACAAATAAAAAACAGATAAAAATAATTAGAACTTTTTAAAATACCAAAATGTTTAAAATTAAAATTCTAAAGTAAACTAGTTGTTGGTATACAAGAAATTAGTTGTTGGTTTACAAGAAATTAGTTGTTTCTTTGAGTTTCATTGTGTTTCATTTTGTTTATAACTTTCAATATTTTGTTTTTTATTGTTTCTTTTTATTTCTTGTGGTTGTTGGTATACACAAATTCAAATTTATCTTTTAGGTGTGCAATAAATGTGATTATGAGTTTATTCACCAAAGATGTAGCCTGGATAAATATAAACCTAGGTAAATATTAAAAATCAACAAAAAACAATAAGTAACAGGATACAACAAAAAACAACAAAATGCAACAAAGAAAAACAAGATGCACAATTCCAAGTTTAACATTATATGGAGTAGTCTGTCTGTTGGGTTTTTATTCCGAAGAATAAAAATGTATAGAACTCCAAATAAAGAAAATGGCAAAAATATACAATAAACAAATAAACATATAATAAGTAACAAAAAGACACACAATACAACAAAAAGAAACATGATACAACAAAAAGCAACATCATGCAACAAAGAGCAACAAAAAATAAAAGTATAACAATGAATACATAATTCAATCTATATTCCCAAATTCAAACCTAGAAGTATAGTTATAATACAACAATATTAAATAATATACCAGTATACTATTTTTTTAGCATATATACATGTACATGAGTGCTGGCCAATGGCGTCATCATTTTTTTGTTTAATTACCGCTAAACCTTGATCAGTCTTATAGGTAGGACTCCTACTGATGGACAATGTGTGACCTATATCAATTTCAAGCTTCACATACGCAGAGTTCAATTTCTCTTCAACTTTTTTCTTGATTGCTTCTTCAACCCTTTTTGCTGTTTCTTCTTCTATTTGTTTTAATTCTGCTTCCTGTTAGCACCAGTTAATTAAAAAAAGAGCTGAAAATCAGTTAAAGGAATGCCAAAAATGACTTTCCCATTTGGGTAGTCAACCCTTAATGGACGGATCACAGAAGCAGAAAACACTTGGATATTCCCATTTCATCTTTTTTTTTATACTCAAAAATGACTTTCAAGCATCCAAGAGGAATGTCAAAAGTTTATAATTATCATCTGAGGTGATATAGGATACATTATGTGGCAGTATGTACAAACGGTTCCCATATCATTAATAGTAAAGCTAAGACGAGATGTCCAAATGTACAAACAGTTCACCGCCAATAAAATGTGGCAAAATAATCATCTAATAAGAAGCTTTGACTTGAGTTTTTAAAAAAACAATTATCACATATTCCACCATATGTATTAACTTAAGTCCAAAATGAATGACAAACTAAGCTTCACTTGACAATAGGCACTAAATAAATATGCTTATATGCTTTATTGCATACCTCTTAACTGAATTTTGTAGAAACATATGAGTATCAAACTTGGTGACAGTAGATAAACCGTAAACGAAGCATGCATCCAAATTGATCATCAAACATAATAAGTTGAATATAGCAGTAACTTGCTTCACAGAATGCAAAATAACCTGTCGCAATTTTCAAAAATCATCCATATAATTCTCAAGAATTGCCTCTGAATTTCTATCTAGACATTCATCAAACTGATTCTGCTTATAATACTTCATGAAAGTGTAAAAATTCAATAAAAAATGAAGGAGATGTCAATTGAGGGAACCAAAACTATGTTTAGTTTCAGAAATGCGAACTTCAGTGCAATTAATTTTAAATCGAAAAAATTTGCTTGTGATTAAGAACATCAAACCTGGAGTTGCATTGCTTTGAATTCCAGAACTGTGAATCCTGATGCCAAGGGCAGGTTACCGTTTCACGAGCTCCATCATGAGTTGCCTAGATTTTCCGCCCAATATCGACCTCGAGCATATTCATAGGTTTAGTTTGATGTGCTGGAAAACTGGCTGCTAGTCGCCAGAAGGTTACAGCCCTAGACGGTGTCGGAAGAAAGGCCGGACGCGCGGACGAGTTAAAGCTGGACTGCGCACCCACGAAGTATCCATATCATGATTTCGAGAACTCCGTCGCCTGTCTCAGACTGTGCTCCAACAGCATGTCCCGGTTGTCTTCCAATCGCTCAGATTCGACGGAAATCGCCGGTCAGGAGCCACCGATTCGAAGGAAATCGCCGGTTGGGAGCTTCACTCCCAAGTCATAGATCTCATCCCTCTGGATGAGATACTCGATTATAAGAGAGAAAAGGAACGTGGCGAGACGAGACGCGGGAGACGGAAGTGTGAATAGACACATTAGGTTAGCGGAACCTGTCTAAATCTGAAATAAAAAACCAAAACTGAAAATAGGAAAATTAAAAATGAAAAGAGAAAGTAAGAGGGACATAAATGATATTAGGGACATAAAATTAGACTATCCAGGTAATTTGCAAAATAATCAATCATGAACTACGAAAAACATTAATCGTTTTACAATCGTTTGACAATAGGAAATTCAATACCTAAACTTTAAATTTTAAATTGAATTTTCAAGGACGTTTGGGTGCGGTGTCACAGCCCGCCCGCACAAATTAGCGGGCTTGGGCATATATTTTTACTCACCGGTCCGGCCCGGGCCCTATAGGGCGACATGGAACAACATATGGGCGGGCTTGTGTTAGGGTGTAGGCCGGTTCGAGCCAATAAGCCCGGCCCGCTACATTTAGTATATACATATATATATATACACTAATTTATGTATTTAATTACATGTACACATGTATATTTATATTTACTAGTTTATGTGTATACATATTTATAGTTTATTATGTTTAAATTTAAGTTTTTAGTTCTTAACAAATAGTCCAACCAATATAATATCTATTTTTGTACTTAAAGATAATACTTTGTGCTTGAATTTTAAATTTTAGATATAGTTTCTCATTATTATTTTTGTGTAAATATTTTTTGTGTATATGATGAAAGGCCCATATACATTATAACTGTATTAGCAATTTTTTAAATGTTGTAATATTATTTATAAAGTATTAAATAAATTATATAATTTTGAAAAATTTAAAGTTTTCCCGGGCCGGGCGGCCCGGTGGACTACCCGGCCCGCTCTTACGGGCGGGTATGGACATGGGGTTAGACCTGTTTTTGCGGGCCGGGGCCTGCCCACACACGATGGGCAGAAAACTTATGAAAAGCCCGGCCCGAGCCCGGCCCGAACCCGCTTTTGTGCAGGTCTAATTTAAATCTAGTTTGATATAATGTGATATGTTAAAGTGTAGCCTGACTTGCTCAAGTATACCCTAGTATAATACGTTATTATGTATATTTTACTATGGTCTAATTTATTTAGAAATGACCTGATTTAATATTGTTGTTTTAATGTATGATGATGTGTGATTCAAGCTATTTTAAATCTGAAATTAATCCAAGTGAAAACATCTTTAGCATACTTCGAACATTATTATTTTATCACAATCTCTACCATATTAATATCATCATAGAAGTTATATTGATTCATTAGTAGATATGTAT